ATATATATAAAATGTAACTATGTGGAATAGTATCATGAGTAAAGTAACAAGATGTAATATTTGGAAATGTGGAAGAAAGAGTTGTTGGAAAGAGGTAGTATGAGATGGTGATTAGATGCATTTACTTATACGAATATTTAAATTGTTTACTTAACTTTATTTAAAATGTGGATTATCGTATATTGATATTTATTGTGTTAATGACTTAATCATTTGTGTGTTTCTGTGTATTTGTCAATGATAACATTACATCATACATATGAATTAACAACGTAACATCTTTGCTTAACAAAATAAAAACACAATTTAACAACATAACTATCACACTTATGAATTAATATGATATTATAATTATAGACTAATATGGTATTACAATATAGATTAACATGATATTACAATTATGTTGCTATATATATAAATTTAGGAAGAAATAGCGGGTCCGAGTACCCACGGTTTAAGGAACGATATTATGGTGTTAATTCATATGTATGATGTAATATTATGTTAATTGAAGAGTTCTTACTGAAAGAATTTTCCATCCTAATGTTGAAGTTGTTTTTAATGTTTGTTTGAGTAAAATGAGTTGTGTTTAATAGTCAATTAAGTTGCGTTTAAAACTTTAAATTAAGTTTTATAATTTTTTCTCTTGTTGATTGTCTAAATAACATATAAGATCATATGAAACAAATACACAAGTGCATACATTACTTGTAATTATTTTTAATATTTTGAATTTATTGGTACTCATAGATCCGTTGGGTACCCAATGACTCGTTGGTAATATATCCAGCGGCTATTAGCACGAGTCTGGGGCAAGTCTGAGTCCAAAAATGAAGTAACGGGACGGGTCCGGGTAATGCATTACCCAGACCAATCCAGACTCATTGTCATCCCTAGTTTTGGGTACCTCATTATCCGGACTCAGACCCATATAACAGCGGGTCTTAAAATTGCGGATTTCAATTACCTACGGGTCGAAAACATGGATCCAGACCCAACCCGTTGCGGGTATTTTTAGCGGATACCCGCAGATATGGGTAGCCATTGTCATCCCTAGTTAGATATACATATATAATATAGTAATATTAATGTTGAAAATCAATAAAAAATAATTATTATTTTTATTTTCATTAAAAAGTTAATTTTAAATAAAAATCAACCGGTATGACAAGTAAATTTCAATTGAAAACCGACCAATATGACAAATTTTAGCTTGATCATAATTGTTATACCTTATTAACATAAACCACCCAACACCAACCTCGTTTTATAACTATATTTTAGGAGACCAATATTCCTAATTTCATTTGTAAATTTTAAAAATAAAAAATCCCTCATTCCTTTAATTGGAAGTTTGAAACAAAAAATTCATTGTATCTTCTTCAACACTCTATCTAGGGTTTTACATTCACAAACTATCGCAACCCAATTTATGGATTTATCAACCACCGGCGGCAACGGCAGCGGCGGCGCAAATTCACCATCGCCGTCTCCGATTCTAAGCGCGAACGCGCCGCCACCATTCCTGAGCAAGACTTACGATATGGTAGATGATCCTTCAACCGATTCGATAGTGTCATGGGGTCCAACAAATAACAGCTTCATTGTTTGGAATCCACCGGAATTTGCGAGAGATCTTTTGCCTAAGCATTTCAAGCATAACAATTTCTCAAGCTTTGTTCGTCAATTGAACACTTATGTGTGTTTTCCAATTCATTCTTTTTTCTTTTTTCGATCTTTATTTTATAATTTTTTATATTTTTTTATATTGATTGCTTGTGGTTCTCATAATACTAGATTATTGTGTAGCTTTCTCCATTTTATAGTGGAAACGTTTTTTAAGTTAGGATGTGTATCGAAAAACAAGTTAGTTAAGTGCTTATTAAATAAGTTTTTTTTTGGGATAAGCTGAAAAGAACTTAATTTCACAAGCTACTACTCTAATAAGCTTATTGAAATATGCTAATCAGAGCTTATAGGAAATCCAAAACCTATTTTTTATAAGTTATTTCCATAAGTTGTTCTATGTAAGCTATTCCAGATGCTTCCTTAATGGAAATCAAGGATTAGGGTTTGTGAGAGATGAATTTGGAAGCTCTGATTGATCATCAACTGCATTGAGGAAATGGTAATAATAAGAAAATGGAAGCCGTCTGATAAGCACTAGTACGAAAAGATTCAAGAAAGATTGAAAGAATGCCCAATTTCCCCAAACCAGAATTAGTGATTCTTGGTTGGGTCAATGTAAGCAGAAGTTTATTGAAAGAATGGAAAGATTTATATACTAACTAACAAACTAACTGCTTAGGGACATTTTAGTAAAAGTGTTATAACTAGGCAACCCCTAACCAAACTATCCTATTCCCCTTTTATATACATTTTTAATACTAGGCCTAATCTTATCACCGTCTTGTTGAATTCATCGGCTTCCTTAGTGGCATAGGGATGCATTCTGTATTTAGCACTGTGTGGTATGGTAACTGAGCACATGCTAGAGAAAACATAACAATCTGGTATCGAAACACTCATATATTGGGCCTGCATTAAGTTCTGTCTTCTTTGTGAATCATTGTTCGTATAATGAAAGAATATCTCATTATCAAAAATGTTGAAGGACCATTTGGACTTTTGGAGCACATTCTGCATTCTACTGCTGATTTAGTACTCACTTACTTTTATAGAGATCAATGAATCAATCTAAACTAAATGCCTTATCCCTTTTCTATAAAGGAAAACTAAATGCTATTGAACTGGTAAGTTTGCATGGAATTAACTCTGTTTTTGCTTTAATTTCTGGCAAAATGTTTGAAAAGGTGTAGCTTATTGTTATGCAAATTCCTTTGCTATTGTATAAATCAATTGCACATTAAAGAAGTTAATAATCAACTATAAGCTGTGTGTCTGAGTTTGTCCTAAAGTCTGCTTATGGATACATACATTTATTCTGACATATCTACTTGAGTGGAGATGCATTATTCGTTTGGTTGTAAATCTGGTAAACATGCTTATGTGTAGTGGTAAAGCATATGCATCGTAGAATCTAACTGACATAAGCTGCTGGGATTGTGGAAACCTATATTTGGAGTTTATGGCTTTATGCATGGATAACAAGGAAAACCATTTTTCACTGGGTAGCATTGCTACATGGATATGGCATTATGTTCGGTCATAATCCAATTTTTCGTAAAGGTTATTTAGGTTAAGTCTTTTTATTTATTTCTCAGTTTTCCTTGATCTCATCTTCTACCTGTATCTATTGGGCTATCCTCCATATGATTAACTCTTCTTACTGGGGCTTCTAACTTTCTTCTTTTCATTTGCCATTCAAATTATTTATTTTCTAACATTTGAATTCTTAAGTGTGATATGGTTTAGCAGATTTCTATTATACATTGAGGTGTCTTTTATTATCATTTTTGCTTCTGTACTATTATAACTTGCATTTCAAGGTTGACTTCCACTTCGCTTGTGAAATAGGTCCTTCAAAGCCAAAAGCTGTGATTTGAGTTGGATGAATTGTTTGGTTTGAATTTCTGGACGTTCTTGCCTACTTGGGTTGTATTGTTGCATCATCACCATACTTTGTCATTCATAACTCCATTTCTCCATTTTTAGTTTCGATTTGCATGTCCACTACAATGCTGTATATCGATTATTGAATCAAAAGTTCCTCATTTTTTATTGGGGATGTGCTTGACTTCCTCATCTGTTTTTCCTATTCTAATGTCAGCAACTCGTCATCATTAAGCAGGGTTTCAGGAAGGTAGATCCTGATCGTTGGGAATTTGCAAATGAGGGATTTTTAAGGGGTCAGAAGCACTTGCTTAAGAGTATAACTCGGCGGAAACCTGCCCATGGTCATAATCAGGCACAACAATCACATGGACAGAGCTCATCAGTAGGGGCATGTGTAGAAGTTGGGAAGTTTGGACTTGAGGAAGAGGTTGAGATTCTTAAGAGAGATAAGAATGTGCTCATGCAAGAGCTTGTGAAGTTGAGGCAGCAACAACAGACTACTGAAAGTCAGATACAGACAATGGTTCAGCGCTTTCAGGTAATGGAGCAACGACAGCAGCAGATGATGTCATTCCTTGCAAAGGCTGTCCAGAGCCCAGGGTTCTTTGCTCAATTCATAAAACAGCAAAACGAGAGTAATAGGCGTATAACTGACACAAACAAAAAACGTCGGCTCAAACAGGACGGTATTGCTGAAATGGAACATTCTGCTGATTCTGATGGCCAGATTGTTAAATATCAACCTCAGATAAATGAAGCAGCAAAAGCAATGATAATGCAGATCCTGAAATTGGGTACTTCTAACCTTAGTAACCCTGATAGTTACTTGATTGGTGATGGTTCATCATCATCCAATGCCATGGACAGGGGAAACTCTTTAAGTCGGACTTCTGGAGTAACTCTTCAAGAGGTCCCTCCAGCTACAGTGCAATCTTCTCACATTCCAGCTGCAATAGGGACTCAAGAGCATGCCCCCTCAAAAGGAAAATATGAGTGTCTATCTTCTCCTCAAGTTACAGCCTGTGGAAATGGTATAAAAGCTCAATACCCTGAAATAAATGTTTTGGTTGGAGCACCCGAGGTTCCCTCTATCCCTGTTTCTCAAGTAGATGCAATCATGCCGGACATTTCTCCAATACCAGATACAGTGACAGGAAGTATTCTTGATACTCCTCAAGAAAATTATATGGCATCTGAGACAAACGGTGTGGGATATATGGATTCCTCTTCACTAGGAGTTAACGGGTCATTCCCCATTGATTTTGATAGTATATCATCTGAAACTGACATTGATGATCTGTTTAGCAACCCTGCATTTTGGGCTGATATTGTGCAAACTCCAGTGGCAGAGGATATTGATACCGACATTGCTGAATTACTCAAGGACAATCAGCTGCAGCCGATAGAAAATGGATGGGAGAAATCTCAACATATGGATCGACTTACAGAGAAAATGGGCAATCTTTCTTCCGATACAAAACGAGTTTGAGTGTTTTATGAAGTGCAGGTCATTCTTGGCTCAATCAATATGCCAGGGATGTCTATATTATAATTATAATCATACCTCCAGTTTCTCACCCAAAACATTTTTTTGTATGGTTTAGATTGTGCATATAACTACCAAAATTATTTGTCTTTTCTGTAGATTTATGTTGATATATGATATATACCCTTTGCCTTTATGTTGCAGTAGATGCTATAATTTTGGCCAATGTTTCTTTGTATCAGTTAATGGTGTGTGTGGATCTATCAGATATTAGGCATGAACATTGCAATGTTTAACATGAAATCTGCATATGGAAGAAGAGGTACAAATTAACCTGGAGTCTTTTGCATATATATATTTTAATTTTTTTAAATATTTCTATGTAAGCTGATTATGATACTAATTCTAGTTATTATTAATAACGAATGGATTCACTTACTTCAAGAATAAGTGAGAAAAACCTACTCCACATCATAGTTGTCCATTATTGGAAAATCCAATGATTTGAATTGGTGAGTACATCTAAACCATTAGATTTTCCAAGAATGATGACTAAGATGTGAAATAGGTTTTTTCAGAAAGTGGATACAAGGAAGGAAAGGGGCAACATGGATATTGCAATTAGTATTTACCCTTATTTTTACTGAAATGTTCTTTTATTGTGTATGTTGTTAGTTCCTCAATCAAATGATGCATATCTGAGGAGAAAGTGATTGATTTAGAATTAGGAAAGGAGAAAATTATAATCAAAACTCATAAGTGAATGATATTGTTTCACACTCACTCCAAACCTAATTTCCAAATCAAATGTATGAACATTAATCTTCAAATTCAATTAAATAATCTTTAAATCAAGATATATAATATCACCAAAATAATCAATATATATATATATATATATATATCTTAATTATTCATTGTGAAGACTAAGCTAAAAACAAAGAGACTAGGATAGAGAGAAAGAGAAAAGTGGCATTAAGATCAATTCACGTAAAAATGTTACATTAAATGATATCAATAGAGCATTAGATAATATTTTCCTTCTAGAATTTGGGTACATTGAACACACTGTTAGAATGGGATGCAGAGGACATGCCAATAGATGAGAAATAATAATGCAATAAGAGGTAAGGAATAGGGATGACAAAAAAAACTCATTTCGTGGATACCTACTAAAATATCTACAACGGGTATCCACAAAAATAATGTATGGGTGAAAACGGGTATTATGATACCCACCTCACGGGTATCCGTGTATTTATAAATTTATTTTTTAATTATATTTTATTCTTATATGTTATTTATTTTATTATTAGTTTAAATTTCAGTCATTAAAATATAAATGATATATTTAACATGTACATAAATTTTATTATTTATGTTATAATTATTTTATATATTTTAATTATTACAAAATATATTAATATATATTTAAACTTAAAAATTGGTTGGAGACTTGCATACATGACAAGTACAAGTACTGGAAAACACTATCTGTACCGGTTTTCATCCTTAGTAAAGAAGGAAATGAGTATCATAAAATGGACACCTAGCAGCAGGGCAATGGAGATGGAAATTCAGCAATGATAGGAAAAGGGTGAACATGAACAAGAAGAAAGGGCCATAGAATACAAGGATTACCCGTCCCTAAAAAATTATGTTTCTATGTCTCAAGCCAATCATGCTGTACCAAATAATGTAAAAAGAAATTCTATTTTTTTAATTTTCATATTGATTACGTGACACCTTTTTAGTGGATTGGGACACCATTTATGAGACAAGTGATCTTCATAATGGAAAATATTAGGGGAACCATTTGGGTTGCTTAGACTAAGGGAGTTTTAAGATCTGATTTTTCTATCATTTCCTTTCTGTCATAGACTTTATTTTATTTGCTGATATATAATGGCCATTTTTAGTCACAAATGTGGGGACTATAATCTTTTAAACATAAATTTCCTACAACATACCATTTATTTGATAGAGTATCATACTCAGAACCCAAGAGAATCATGTATTCTTACTATAAGTCGCAATGTTCGGATAACTTATTATCCGATTTTTATACAATAAGATACAGATCAACCAAAGTCAAGTGACTTTCACACCATAATGTCACTAAATCATTTCCTAGTGTTTTTTTTTGGTATACATAAATTGTGCCAATATTTGCTCAGCCACCATTCTATTAATTAGACAAATCAGAGAAATCTGAAAGCTCTGTAAAAAAGAAAGGGAATTGATGGAGCTTCCAAGGAAATCCTAAAAAATATTGGTACACGGTTTTGTATGGGAATGGTATGCACTATGCAGTGAGATATTAAACAAGTTGTCCCAACTGAAGTGTTGCTAGCATGCAAACTATTGAAATGTGCTATTCAAGTATTTATCATTAACGGTCTCTCTATTTCTGGGATAAGGTTGTGTACATCTACCTTCCCAATCAACTCACTAAGGCTCTCTTTGCGAGTTGAGTTTTGGAAGGATAATGGAAATTGGAAGTCTTCAAAGCCATGAAATATACTTGTGAGATAACTCTGAGTCTTCTTTTTCCCTTCCTTCCCTCTCCAAAATCCAACTCACAAATAGATCTTAAGTGGGAGCATAGCCACCTTATACGCGTTTTCGGTTTTCTTTTGAATGGTTACAGATATGTAGTGTGTGGACGTAATCCTGTCAAATACTGATACGTTAGGGGTATATTAGTAGGGTTTCTACAACTATATTCAGTAGGATTTCTATAGCTCCCTACAGATTCGTTTTAGTGTTGTTTCTTACGGGTTTGAATCAAGTTTTGCTTCACTCTAGGAGAAATGCACAATGATAAAATTATTTCTTGTTTGATGTAACTCATTCATGTTGGTAAGTGTAAATTATCAATTTAATCTTCTTTTTTTGTTCTGTGTTTAACTTAAACTATAGGTGAAAATCTAGTCCGTTCCTTATAGAGAACCAATTCACAAAAGAACTATGAATTGATACGCAAGAACCAGTTCGAAAAAGAACCATGAATTAGTATGCAAGAATCAATTCACATTTCTCTAGCAAAAAGAGAATTATATTTCATTGGGTGGGAGCCTTGTTCAATAAATCTCATTTTAAGTATTAATCATGACACTTGGGAGGAGTTTGAGATCATCTAGTGCACATGTTCAGAATTTCACAATGGGGCCAATGTGAATAAACCATGGGATATTGAGGGAATGTGTGCGTGGGTTATGAATTTTCCGAGTCAACTCCTCTCCATTATTGAATAAGACATTTAGGGTTTTTAATATATTTTTAAGAGTACAAATATAATATTAGTTTATGTTGAATGTGTGACTCCAATTCATTCCACATAGGCTTATTATTGGCCATACTTATGTAACTTGCATGTTAAGTATTGCTTAGAAAATAGTGTGCCTACATTTTCTTTTCTCTTGCAGGAAGCATTCCCCAATTTGCCAACACCTTCTACTTAATTGCATGCTACTTTCTTCACTCTTAAGTATTCAAGCTTCTTTAGTGGCTATATAAAGGAAATGGCAAATGGCTACAATACAACACAAGTACATCACAAGATTCAGCTTGGTGCATCACAACAACGAAACAAAAATATAGTGAATGGTTGTTTTATTGTGTGAATGATTTTGTGGTGAGAATTCTTGTTTCATTTGAGAGAGTATTTGTGAGAAAAAAATATTATTCTTTGTCCTCATTACTATTAGAGGATTTGTTGTACTCTCCCTTTTACATAGTAGAATTTTGTTCGTGAGCGCCCATGGTTTTTTACCTCTCACATTGAGTAGTTTTCCACGTTAAATCTTGTGTGTTATTTTCTTGCTCATTTATTTATTTCTCTTTTTGTTCTCAATTGATCCGATCTTGTGCTTCCGCATTGCGCTCTATTCCTAATAAGTGGCATCAGAGCTCTTACTCAATTGAGAATTTCAAAATGTCTAAATTTGACATTGAGAAGTTTGATGGCAAGATTTGCTTTTCTATTTTGCGAGTCCAAATGATGGTCGTTCTTATCTAGAGCGGATTAAAGAAAGCTTTAGATGGAAAGTAAAAGAAATCAGCTTCCATGACTGATGACCAATGGGACGAGTTGGATGAAAAAGCGCTTTCAACAATCCAACTTTGCTTGTCAAAGGAGGTTCTTCGTGAAGTTGACAATGAAGAAACCATTGCGGCTTTGTGGCTGAAATTAGAAACCATTGCGGCTTTGTGGCTGAAATTAGAAACCTTATACATGACCAAAAGCCTCGCAAACAAGTTTCGTCTCAAAGAAAGGTTATATACCTTTCGTATTGTTGAAGATACTCCTATTCAAACTCATCTTGATGATTTTAACTCTATTATTATGGATCTTCAAAATATTGATATCAAACTCACCTTCTACCTACAAACACTTCAAAGAAATCATGTTGTATGGAAATAATGATACCTTATCCTTTGAAGATGTTAAATCTAATTTATTGTCCAAAGAAAAGTTTGATCTTGAAGTTAATTTTATGGACAAGGGTGAGGGCTTAAGTGTTCGAGGTAGAACTCAAGAAAATGGGAGTACAAGTTATAAAAAGTTCAGATCCAAACCCAGAGGCCGCAAATCCAACAAAACATGTCGCTATTACAAGAAATCAGGGCACGCCAATCCTGATTGTTTTATCTTGAAGAAAAAGCAGGAAAAACAAGAAAGAGGAAAATCTCAACAATCCCCTGAGGCTGCTAATATTGAAGCCGGCTCAGACGGTGATTTCCTTTTATCTGTTGTCTCTTTTAATAAGAGGAGTAAAATAGAATGAATTTTTTATTCTGGATGTACTTTTCATATGTATCCTTATAAAGACTTATTCACCACTTTTGAACATGTTGACAATGATGTTGTTTTGATTGGAAATGATACCCAATGCAAAGTTTTAGGAATAGGTACAGTTCAGATCAAGACTCATGATGGTGTTGTCAGAACTTTGGCTAATGTCTGCTATATTCCAGATTAGTAGCGGAACTTAATTTCTCTTGGCACCCTAGAGTCTCTCGGGTGCAGGTATTCAACTGAAGGTGCAGTTCTAAAAGTATCCAAAGGTGTTATTATATTATTAAAGGCTAACCGAGTTGGTAGCTTATATGTCTTGCAAAGTTCTATTGTGACAAGTTTAACAACTGTATCTTCTTCAATGCCTAATAATGATGTCACCAAATTATGGCACATGCGTCTAGGCCATATGAGTGAAAAAGGCATGCACCTTCTGAGCAAACAAGGTCATCTTGGTAAGCATGACATTAGTAAGTTGGAGTTTTGCAAACATTGTGTTTTTGGGAAATAAAAAAAGGTTAGTTTCTCTACTGTAACTCACCGTACCAAATGTACTTGATTATATTCATTCTGACCTTTGGGAGCCTTCTAAAGTTCATTCCCATAGAGGATGCCGCTATATGATGACTATCATTGATGATTTTTCTCGCAAGGTTTGGATTTATTTTTTGCGACATAAAAATGAAACATTCTCCACTTTCAAAAAGTGGAAAACTCTTGTTGGAACCCAGACAAGGAAAAAGGTGAAGAAGCTCAGAACAAACAATGAGTTAGAGTTCTGTAATGGTGACTTTAATGAGTTCTGCACAAATCATGGTATTGCTAGACATAAAATCATTCCAAGGAATCCCCAGCAAAATGGTGTTGCAGAACGGATGAACAGGACTCTACTTGAGAGAGCTTTTTGTATGCTCTCAAATGCTGGGTTATGGCATCATCGTGAACTTTGGGATGAAACAACATCTACTGCTTGTTACTTAGTCAACCATTCTCCACATTCGGCACTTGACTTCAAAATTGAAGAAGAAATTTGGTCAGGTAATCCTGTTTATTATTGTAATTTAAGAATATTTGGATGTCCTGCTTATGCACATGTTAATGATGGTAAATTAGCTCCAAGAGTTGTTGAGTGCATATTTCTTGGTTATGCATCTGAGTCTAAGGGATATCGCTTATGGTGTTCCGATTCAAAGTTACGGAAATTAATTCTTAGTAGAGATGTGACTTTTAACAAGGATGCATTATTATCTTCTGGAAAACAATTTATTGTGTAAAGGTGATGACTTTTAATTCTTAGTACAGGTGATCTGCAAGTACTAGCAAGAAGGTGGAGTTTATAGTAAAGTCTGCAGCTCCTAATGTTGATGTTTCATCTTCCTCTACAAATGAATCAAGCATTAATGATCATTATGTTGATTGTGATGACAGTATCACTTCTCCTATTCATCAACAAGAAGATGATTATTGTATTGCCCGTGATAGATCTAGAAGACTAATTAAAATGTCAGTTAGGTACACTAGTAGTGATAATTTAATTGCTTATGCATTGTCAGTGGCACAAGAGGTAAATGATGGCGCTGAACCTGCTAGCTATAGAGAAGCTATTTCTTGTGCTGATTCTTCACAATGGCTAATGGCTATGAATGAAGAAATGGAAAGTCTTCATAAGAACGGTACTTGGGCTTTGATAGAGTTTCCCAAAGGCAAACGACCATTGAGATGTAAATGGGTCTATAAGAAGAAAGATGGCATTTCCAGAGTTGAAGATCCAAGATGCAAAGCAAGACTAGTTGTTAAAGGTTTTAATCAAAAGACAGATATTGACTTTAATGAAATATTTTCACCTGTTGTTCGTCATACTTCCATTCGTGTTTTGCTTGCTTTTGTTGCTTTATTTGATTTAGAGTTAGAGCAACTTGATGTGAAGACAACTTTTCTACATGGAGAGTTAGAAAATGAAATTTACATAGAACAACCCGAGGGATTTATTGTTCTTGATAAGGAGTATTTTGTCTGCTGATTGAAAAAATCTTTATATGACCTTAAATAAGCTCTAAGACAGTGGTACAAGATGTTTGACTTTTTCATGGTTGGGCAATATTATTACATGAGTTAATTTGATGACTGTATTTATTTTAAAAAATTTCCAGATGGATCATTCATATACTTGTTACTTTATGTTGATGATATGTTAATTGATTCACGTGACAAGTCTTTGATCAGGAAATTGAAAACTCAACTCAATAATGAGTTTGAGATGAAGGAATTAGGTGCAGCCAAGAAAATTCTTGGTATGGAGATTCGCAGGGACCGTCAAGCTGGTAAACTATTCTTATCTCAAAAGAAGTATATTGAGAGAGTGTTTGATAGGTTTAGCATGAATGATTGCAAACCTATTTCTACTCCACTTGCTGCACATTTCAAGTTATCTTCACATCTTTGCCCACATATAGAGGAGGAGGTGGAGCGTATGTCACATGTTCCTTACGCCAGTGCAGTTGGTAGTCTTATGTACCCTATGATGCACACTAGACCAAATTTAGTATATGTTGCTAGCATGGTGAGTCGATATATGCATAATCCTGGTAAGGACCACTGGAGTGTTGTAAAATGGATTTTTCGGTATCTAAAAGGTACTTCTGGTATTAGCTTGGTATTTAACAGAAACAAGACTACAACCGATAATGTTGTAGGTTATGTTGATTCAAATTATGGTAGTGACAATGACAGAAGGAGATCTCTTTCTAGTTACATCTTTACTCTCTATAATAGTGCTATCAGTTGGAAAGCTATTCTTTAGTCTATTGCTGCATTGTCTACGACTGAAGCAGAATATATTTCAGCAATAGAGGGTGTGAAGGAGGCTATTTGGCTCCGAGGTTTGCTAAATCAAATTGTTATTCATTTGACCAAGAATAATCGTTATCACGACAAGACCAAACACATTGATGTGAAACGTCACTTTATCCGAGATATTATCACTGCTGGTGAAATTATGGTGGAGAAAATTCACACATCAGAGAATCCATCAGATATGCTTATCAAGCCACTTCCAAATACCAAGTTGCAACACTGTCTGGACTTGGTTGGTCTCTAAAGTATTTGAGCGCCCCTCGAGGCTTTATATGGCAATGAGCAACTTATCGAATTCGAGCAAAGGTGGAGATTGTTGAATGTGTGACTCCAATTCATTCCACGTAGGCTTATTATTGGTCATACTTATGTAACTTGCATGTTAAGTATTGCTTAGAAAATAGTGTGCCTACATTTTCTTTTCTCTTGCAGGAAGCATTCCCCAATTTGCCAACACCTCCTACTTAATTGCACGCTACTTTCTTCACTCTTAAGTATTCAAGCTTCTTTAGTGGCTATATAAAGGAAATGGCAAATGGCTACAATACAACACAAGTACATCACAAGATTCAGCTTGGTGCGTCACAACAACGAAACAAAAATATAGTGAATGTTTGTTTTATTGTGTGAATGATTTTGTGGTGAGAATTCTTGTTCCATTTGAGAGAGTATTTGTGAGGAAAAAATATTATTCTTTGTCCTCATTACTATTAGAGGATTTGTTGTACTCTCCCTTTTACACAGTGGAATTTTGCTCGTGAGCGCCCATGATTTTTTACCTCTCACACTGAGGAGTTTTTCACGTTAAATTTTGTATGTTATTTTCTTGCTCATTTATTTATTTATTTATCTAATGACACATGGGAGGACCCTGCTGTT